GACGTAACAGTATTATCACAAAATCTAGAATAAATTATTATCATCAAATGTTATCACAAAGTCTAGACTTATAATTATTATCATCAAAGTATTATCACAAAGTCCATTCTACTCACATTTAAGAGAACAACAGTTTATCGATCTCCGACCAACCATTTCTAGGGAAACCCAGGGCATTTCCCTGTCACGTATAGAACATTTTATAGATAAATGTTTACGATTTTCGTCTGGATATGTGTTGCGCGAACGCGACCTAAAGTTTCGGTTTCTAAGGTCTGTTTGCATTTAGAGTTCGGTATGAACGTGACCCACGTGTATTTACTTGTACACTAAATTATGGGGGTTGTTATACCCCAGTGTAATTTTAGAGTGATTATGACTTGTTGTGGTAAATATTTAGTGTTGTATGACCCCCAACCTAGCACCAAACTATTGTAGCCTGTCCATTTCTGGGACCTCAAGGCCTGTCCATAATTATTTTTAATGATAGGTTGTTGAACCCCCCAGCCTAGCACCGAAATACTGTAACCTGTTCGTTTTTAGGTTACCTCAAGATCCCAGTAACTATATGTTTCTAGTGCGTCACAAGAATACCCAGTGATTTACATGTGTAAAGTTTAGGATATACTGACTTTTAGCTCATGATGATCAAAATCACCACAAGAAAATGAGCTAGGCTATAATTACCACAACTCGATTAAGTCTACCACACATTATATGAACATCAAATATTCAAATGTTCACACAGTTTTTTACATTTCTTATGTCCTAACTACTACTAGCGCATGACTATCCTCTAAAGCGTCATTTTTATAGGTTGTCTTATGTACAAGAGGAGTTAGGATGTCCAAATATGGTTAAATGTTTAAATATGTGTTTATGGTTATTTACTTGTAGTGTATGTGTTGAAATATAAACACCACTAACAATATATATAGGGGGGGGATGTCCAAATCTGGTTAAATGTTTAAGTAATTGTTTTTGGTTATTCACTTGTAGTGTATGTGTTGAAATATAAGCACCACTAACATTATATACAAGGGGGGGGGTAGGAACGTCCAAAGCTGGTTGAAATATAAACGAACCAAGATCTTAACGAAACAGGTTTGCTCACTTCGTGATTTATATTAAAATTTAATTAAAGATTATATATGTGAAAGTTGAAGCTATGAAGAATTTATTTTAACAACGCTTTAGTATAATGTTAATCTAGTATCTTTAATGGTTAAACAAGATCGTTAAGATCACTTCAAGGTTATTGTGCCTATACTTAGAAATCCAACACTTGGAGATAATGCCTGAGAAAGGAATTAGTGAAAGACCACGTGTTATTTTTCCTGAAAGAATATGTTAAAATAATTAGAAAAGTGACAGTTAGCAGGTGCTTGTATACTCTGATTTATCGCACATCTTACATGTTTAAGCTTTAAAAAGAAAAAAGGTTTCATGGTTATTATACCATTACATCGTCGAGCAGTCTTACACTTTGATATATATCATTACACAATGGAACAGTCTTACAGTTTGATACACCGTTACACCATGGAGTAATCTTACACTTTGATACACCGTTACACCATGGAGCAGCCTTACACTTTGATATACCATTACATCGTCGAGCAGTCTTACACTTTGATATACCATTACACCATGGAGTAATCTTACACTTTGATATACCATTACACAATGGAACAGTCTTACACTTTAATATACCGTTACACCATAGAACAGCCTTACACTTTGGTATACCATTACACCGTAGAGCAGTCTTACACTTTTATATACCATCACACCATGGAGCAGTCTTACACTTTGGTATACCATTACACCATGGAGCAGTATTACACTTTGTTACCATTACAACGTGGAGTAATCTTACATTTTGATATACCATTACACCATGGAGCAGTCTTACACTTTGTTATACCATTACACCATGGAGCAGTATTACACTTTGTTACCATTACAACGTGGAGTAATCTTACATTTTGATATACCATTACACCATAGAGCAGTCTTACACTTTGATATACCATTACACCGTAGAGCAGTCTTACACTTTGATATACCATTACACTATAGAGCAGTCTTGCACTTTGATATACCGTTACACCATGGGCCAGTCTTACATGTTGATGTACCATTACAACGTGGAGTAATCTTACACTTTGATATACCATTACACAGTCTTACACTGAGAGAAGAGAATATTCACATACTTCCTTTAAAGAAGAAATATAAATTAAATGATACCTCTTGTGCCTCGTTGTTGATAAAGCCTAACACTTCAATTTGTAACGTTTCAAAATGAAAATTTTGGACAAGATTTCATCATTTATTTTCTGTTGTGCATATATTGTTGTATGTTTATTACAAAAAAATGGCGCAATAATAATTAATTGTCAATTTCGTCATTAAATACTACACCAAATACAAAAAAAAAAATAGCACCATTAAATTTCTTGTAAAAAAAATGGTTATTATGACGTTATTTTAAAATTTGCAAGTTCAACCGTTTGGTTTCCTATAGCGAACAAAATAAACCAACTTCCTCTTTCATATATATATATATATATATA